GCGTTAATTTGAGATTAGGGGCCCGATACGACCGATTAAATAGTGCTTACTCTGACTTTTCTGTTTGTGGTGTTTTTTCCCCAGAAGCGGGTCTCGTTTTAGCTAAAGACCATAATATTATTACTCACTAGGTCGACTCGGAAAAAAAATGTAGTGTGTATATACATATACCGGTACATCAACTCGGCATATGCATGTTTAGCATTTACTCGCCACGGTTACACATGTTCAAAAACAGACAATCCCATAGACTGAGACAATCACGTCTTGTCAGTGGGATACTTTACGTTATTATAGCGCAAATAAAGCTAATAATTTTAGTTTATTATTTCACAATAAACCATAGTGTCCACGTGGTCTGATGTGATATTCATTTGTGCATTATGTTCGAAATATTACATGTATACACAACCTGTTGATTGTCTACGCATCGATTATTGGTTACTGTGATAAATATAAAATATAATGGAATCTGTTTATAAATAAAAGTGGTGGATAGATGCAGTGTTGTCTATATCATGTGTTCGTCTTTGGTGGGCCAGTCCATTATGTCGCTGGGAGGGAAAGATATAATGTGAATTGTTTCCGATTAACCAAGGTGCAACTCATTTCAAAACTATATACAAAACCCATCGTGGCAAGATTTTGTTCATAAAAGTCCGATTGAAAGCTGCTGCCCCTCAAACCACCCTGTGCACCCCCTTGATCTCAATCAAATGGGACACACCTTATTTCACTGGCGCATATCCTTCGGTTTTTTGAAATATTTTTGAAGTAGTACATTTCGTAACACAAAAGATGCAATTATTGCTGCACATGTATCGTTAGTTGAAATGGCTTACACCTTCGTGCTATGTTCGTTCATTAATGTTTTACCCTTTCACCACCAGACTTTCACACCTATTTTTTCTTGTATATTCTTCAATATTGTTTGAAACGAACCCTAATTTGGGGGCCTGCAGATAAAATTTGAGTCAATTTTCAGTTTTTACTCAAAAAATGCTATTTTTTCCCAATCTCCTGAAAGAAAGTGCAGACTATAGACCGTACAACCTGTATACCATGTGAAACGGTACCTCCATGATTGTGTATCTTTATTGTTAAGTGTATTGTGTTTTTTCACGTATTATAAAAACTATTCATATATAGAACGAGTTTATTTCGTATTTATTTTTAAAAAAATATGTTAAATTTAGACACTACTAACTCCATGGAACGACGTACTACATGTCCGTTCAAATAACAAACGTCAGTGTTTAGCCGTGTAAACTCTAAACTGGACGTTATTATTCTGACCACGTAGCCATTTTATGTTTCTTAACTCTGGAACGTTTAGCAGTTCATCGCAGATAAATTATAAATTTACAAATAAATAGTAAAAAACGTTGGTAAAAGGCAGGTTTCCCTACCATTAACGACACGACATTGAACTTTGTCACATGATTTTGAACCTTCGAAACTGAATCACGCGAGATCTCATTAGAGGCGGAAAAAAAACGATTGGCATTGAGGTTAAAAAAATGTCTGTAAACACTATAGTTGCACGGTAGTAACTGCATAACCAGAAAAAGAATTTATAATGTAAACACGCAAATACGATGCGCGGTGCGACGACCACCGCCCTTTAATTATGGTGGAGGTAACACCAGCGACCATTCCCGAAGAGAATTGTAAGTGCATCGGCAATTGGGTTTGGTATAGTTTAACTGAAAATGACACAGGTAATTATTACAGCCTAGGCCATTTACACAGTGCCATTTTTTACCGCGCATCAGTCTGAAACATGTCTAGAAAATAACAATTCAATGTACCTCCCCGACGAAAAAATAATTATGAAAAACGTGACAACACAGTGCAGAGCAGAGTAACGTTCCTTAGCAACAATCACAATGGGTGTAGTGACTATTTCCAAATTACCGTGTTCACATGTGTTTTTGTGTTTGTCTTTTTATGCTGATGGCAGTTGCGTCATCGTAAGAGAAAAATAAGATATAAACACGTTACGCCTACATAAGGGGGTTTAAAAATGGTGGAGTTTAAATGGCGGTGGTCGTCGCGCCACGCATGCGCGAGATATTGGACTCAACGAGTACAAAGTGGGGCGTTACTAAGCTTTAACTATGTAATTTCTTCGGTGATTGGAAAGTCTCGAAAGAAGTACAAAGTGGGGCGTTACTAAGCTTTAACTATGTAATTTCTTCGGTGATTGGAAAGTCTCGAAAGAGTCACCGGCGCTAATTATAGTGTACGTTGCGCCTTGGTCAAAACACATACTCGTGATTTCCATTAGAAGAGCGCATTTGATTGTGGGAAAATCAATGTTTATCAACACAAATGGCGCAGCGCGGCGACCACCGCCCTTTAATTACGGTGGAGGTGACACCAGCGACGAATTGTAAGTGCATTGGCGTCTTGGCAATGTGGGGTAACATAATCAACTGTATTTCAGTTTATCCACATTCCTTGTTGAGGGACTGTGGTTTATCATATTTAAAAGCAGTCGGAATACTAGTATGCCAATTGGTTCCGCCACAGAACTAAAACGTCAAGAGATTAGCTTCATGTTCCAACACGTTTATATGTATGTATATTATTATAACATTTTTCATGATCCTATTATTGCTCGATTGAAAAAGTACATAAAGGACAGAAATACACCTTAATAATCTGTGAAAATTCTACTACTTATGCTTATTCAATATCGCTTTCTGCATGGTCAACATCAAATTTATCATCTCCGTAGTTACTGATGGATAAGAACATTGGTGGGCGGAAGTGTCAGCCACCGGAATTTCGGCAACCATTCGCCAGAAGTTTTTGCCACGGTAGTTCTGGCCTCATACATGTTATATATCTTATTAATTGAGTTCTTACAGTTATTTATTTAGTTTTGACACGTACAAGCACGGCGTATTTCCAATTATTTAATTGTAATATAATTAAGCCTGCTTGCAATGTACGAGTTATTAGATAAATATAACTGAACCGACCCTGCAACGTACACGTTATTAGTAAAATACATATAAAAGCGGCGTACCTGCAACGTACTGTTTTGTAAAAAATGTTCTCATCAAATATTGCTTACCGGATTTTTCACACCAAAATATATGCGGTTATTCAAATAATCGATAAGTTGAGAGTTGAAAAACATAATATGGCTACTTGATCAGAACACTGACGTTCTGTTCAGAGTTTTATTAATAATACAAATGTATCTCAATTTATGCAAGTATATTGTATGATGACAATGAATAGCAAATGTACAATAAAACAATGAATTATGCCCGCATGTTTCATCATGTCATTGCCTGTGCAAACGATTTCGATTACATTCTGGGGTAACAGACGATCAAGTTGGACTCTAATCTATTTCTCACATTCATTGCCTGATAGCAGCCAAGCAACAGAGTTGTTCGTGGCGTGTAAACACACTACATGGGCAGTGAATAAATAACATGACACTCAAACAATAAAGTTATAAAATTGAGATCGACACGAACCGTTTGTTCTGATTGCTTGCGGGGTAAGATTTTAGAAAATAAATGGCACACTCAGGGTCAAATGACAGGAATTAATGGCACGGGTAATAACGGCACAATGGACACGGTCGGGGCGGTAATAATGTCACACATGTGGGAAAACTTGATCCGAGCATGGAACTATGGGGTTTATAGTTCCATGATCCGAGGAATAAAAGCAAGGCTCGTGTTTCTGTTTGTTAGCAATCATGGTGTAGTAGACAAGTTGATATCTGAATTCATGGGGTATTTTTTTAGACATTTTTAATTAACCTTATCAAGACAACAAAAACTGATCTGATCTCCGATAATTTAGATGTAAGATACCCAGAGTATTGCTAAAGGCCCGATGGCTAATGGTGGTTAACAAAACAGATGAGGGCGATTGAAAGCAACGATTCGTACCACATTTGGTGGTAGTTAGGCACTTAAATAACGTTCATTTTGATTTAAAATGGCGTCCGACCTACTTGTATAGCAGTTGTTGTTAGTGCAAATAAATAAATATGCTAATTTAAAACTAATATAATATTTGCCGCATAAACTCATACTTGTATGTTATAAAACATTCCATTGCTTCTTTCGCAAAACGCGTAGGAGAAAAGTCCCAGATACCATGTTGTGTGGTGTGGTGTGGTGTGGTGTGGTGTGGTG